TACAAGACTAATCCAGGAAAATGGACATGGTCTTCTGAAGGAACTGGGCTGATTTACACTGAGCTCCCATCAATACCAGGTTGGCATGTCTAAGGAGATAGGCAGTGGCTGGGAGACATTAAAAAAACCCACCAAAACAAAACAAAAAATGTATTGCTATAAAAACAAGTGTTGAAGAGACAGGAAATCAAAGCCCCCAAAGTGCTGTAATATTGACAGCAGCATAAAAGTATGCATCGACACATTTCAAATAAGGAATAATGCAGAAGCTTTGAATTATGTCACTAACAGCATGACTCAAAAAAAAAAAAAAAGGAAAGAGCCTGTCTGCGTGGGTTGAAGTTTCCCTTTTGAAGCAGTACTAGACAAGTTTACAAAATGTGTGCAATAAATGTGTAAAGGGACCTTTTCGTTCCTTCACCTCAATTTTATGTGGGACATGGGGTATGGGAACTTTTAAAATCACTTGTGACTAAAGGTTGGGCGGTAGGTTAAGTGTGCGCGCTTGTATTTGGTTAACTTGTGGTTTCTTGCACTGGGTTATGAATCCAGGGCGAGGTTTCAGTCACGAAAAATGAGCACTGGTTTAGTTAGAAATTTGAATCATGGGAGCAGTGAGTCATAAGTCTACAAAGAGCATATGCATTGCTGCCCTCACACTTTATTTCATATTGATACAGCTATAGGACTTACCATAATCAGTCAGTGTACAGCATTTTATCGTTATTCATTTTGATGCATAGCAGCTTCTTAAAATGCTCGCTGGAATCAGCAGAGGGGGGATTAAGGGAAAATCCTCATCTGTAAGAGTCCACAGAAGGCTGAACTTTCAGATCATAAAGACTGTAAGCACATGGGGCAGCATTTAAATTTTGTGTTAGGTGTTTCACAGAGATGTAAAATAATGAATGACGAGTGGAAGAAGGATGTTTTATAAAGGTATATATTGTAGAATCAAGGAAATTTAACATTCCTTTTTTGGTACTACATCTTGAGAGACTGCCAAGAGCAAATTCCCCCAAGGAACAGTATTGTGCTTTGCATTTCACTTTCATGCCCTAGTAAAATATAGATCTGCATAGGCCAATCAGCAAAATAAGAAGGAGCAAAATATTCATCTGAGAATACCCTGTCTGATGAGTCTTCTCTTTTTGACCTTATTGAACTAAAAATAATGTAGTCTGGAATATGTTTGAAGAACCAGTTTTAGATTCCTTATAGGATTAACTGGAAGATCAGTTGAGCATGTTGTATATGCACATAAAACAAATAGCTGCTTTTAAAATAGATGAGCCATAAAATTTTTTAAAATCTATTTTTATTTTTCATCGATAAAAATGGACGTTTGTAATTGGTGGTTTGCGTTTTTTAATGTAGTTTGACTGCCATGCCGTAATGGTAAGCGCCATTGCAATTATGTTTTAAAAAAAGGAAATACCCAGACCTAGCTAATTAGTTCAATAGTACCTAGCACTTTTCATCTCTAAAACAGCTTACCAAGATCTGCATCTTTTAAGATTAATCAAGTATTATAAATATGTGCCCATTTACAGAAAGAAAAATAAAGACTTGTTGATGCGCCCAATATCATGACCGGTTCAAACTGCAGCTGAAGCTCAGGAATCATCTATTAATTCTACAACACCATCGGTGTGGATAGCACTTCATGGACAATGCAAGATGACAAGAACCTAGCACAAAAGTTTACATTTTAAAGGACTCAGCTTGAAGTGCTCACTTGTCACAGCTCCTGACAGTGACTGGATTGGGTTAAGCAGAAAGATGGATGGGGTAGACTCATGAATTCATTTAAGCGGAGAAAACGAACAGTTTTTTAAATCAATCATGCATGCACACTGGTGTGTGCACATGCGTGCGTGCATGCATGCATGCATGCACACGCACACACACATCTGAGAAACAGGAGTAGAAACTGGGGAACTTTCATCTTCAGAAATACCAGCTACTATCAGTTGAGCAAAAGGAGATCTCTGTGATCCGGGAAAAGTAATAGGCCCCCCTGTAGGCCTGTACAACAGGATAATGTCCCCTTCCCATGCGGCACACACAGACTCCCTGCATGACAAACCGAAGTGTTATCAGATCATAAGGATATGTGTGCGGTAAGGTGGATTGATACCCCCTGAGGTTCTGTGATTGCTTCTTTAGTACAGGCCAGACCAGGCCTGTTTAGTGATGGTTTGGCCTTTAAGTAAAAGACCTATGCTCAGTTGAAATAAATTGTGGTTGGAGCATTTCTACCTGCTAGTACGGAGATCTGGATTTGGAAGATGTTTCTCATCTTAATAACCCTCCTCCCACAGCTCATCCTTGCCGTTATTTTTTTTCCCTGATGTAACCCGGGTAACAACAGAGTTAACTGTAGAAGCAGCCTTTCCTTCCAGCCTCTAAAATATTTTCCTTCACTTTTTATTATTGGGTTTACTTTTAACAAAACAGCTCCATAAAGCCCTCGTGAAATGTCTCTGAGAAGGAAACTATAAAATGTTCTGTTTTTCTGTCCCTAGGCGATATGAGTCTCATCCAATCTGTGCTGATCTGCAGGGTAAAATTCTCCAATGTTATCAGCAAAACTCTCACGAGACCCTCAGCTGCTCTGCACTGGCCAACCAATACCTGCATTGTGTCAATCATGCCAAACAGGTGGGTATGGGAATATAGCTACTGACTGGTTCACAAGCATAAAAGATGGGAGAAAAGACCTGTTGGATATTTTTTTTGTAAATCCTTCTCTTCTGCCAATGTAGGATTGTTCCCAGCAGTATGTTCCTAAATATGTGCTATGTCAAGTCTCATTTTAAATTACCCAGGCAATAAGGTTCCCCTATCTTCCCTGGGGAGACTGTTCCATGGTGTAATAGCCATTGCTGTTTGCAGAGGCCAGGAAATAGTTGCTATTTTAGCAAGAAGATAAATGGAATTATCTGATTTGGTATGTTTGTCATCAAATGGTCACCTGTAGCATTTCCCATTTCAGTACCAAGTCAGTGTCTGTCCTGGGTGGACTTGCTGAGCAGTCAGAACTCTTGATTTCTTATGTGTCATATGTTTCCAGAATGTGGCATTATACTTTGTCACGTTAACCTGTCATCTGATTTGCCGGCTGTATGATGTTGCCATAAAGTGCTAACTTTTTAATGCTATCTGAAGAATGAATTTGTTCTCTTATGTCAGGAGGCTCTTTTTCTTTAATTTTTTTTTTTTTTTGAAGAAATAGTGTAAATCAGTGGAAAATAGAATATATATTATTTAAAAGCCTGTAACTCCTTTAGAAAAAGCAGTGATTTAATATTGTTCCTTGTGTCTGGCTTATAACTGCGCAGTTCAGGTTTTAGAGGTAAACTAGATGGATTCTTTCCTAAAAGAGGCCTTTGATGCATATAATCATAATAGTATGGCAGTTGGATATTTTATTTGTGAAAGTACCACTCCTTATGTGCATCAGCCTGCAGCTATACTGGAAACTTAAGATCTGAGGAAGAGTTGGTTTTCTCGTGGAGTCCTGTTCAGCTGGGACGCATGGCCATATTGGAGAAGCATAAGAGAAAGAGGCAGTCACTAAGCATATATTTAGAGAGAGGCATATATTGATTTGTTTGATGTATATGCTGGCCTTCTCCCAAAATGCTCCAGGTGGCTTATAATAAAAGACGCCCTCAAAAGTTTATAGAAACAGAAGAAAAATGTTAAAATAAGAAGTTACAAGACAAATTCCCCGCCCCCACAAAACCACCTAATACTCAGAAGCAGTCCACCTCTTCCACTCCCCTGCCTCTAACCAGGGAAGTGGTCCCCACTCTTCCCAGCCTGTCTTCAATACCGATGTAAAAAGAAAACAAAGATTCTTCCTGCACCCCATATTCCCTCCCATGCGGACCCACTCCTCTCCCCTGCCTCACACCATAAGAGGAAATAAAATCCCCTACAGAGTCAATTATTCCATAGTGTGCTCTTATGACCAAGAATATATGCTCCTACTTATTATATCAAGGCTGATAACTTAAGCTCAGATCTCTGAACATACCTACATTTTCAGGGTGGTTAAGATCTGGTATCATGGAACGGGTCCCTCGCTAACTCAAACACAGAGATCTGTATTCTCTCCTTGACATTTCTGAAGAAGACAATGGGAGAATAATGATATATTGCAAGCTGGGTATATGTAAGCATGAACTGAAATAAGCCCTTTAGTGGTTGTCTTCCTTTTTTTTTGTTTTTTTTTTAAGAAAGTTGGTGAGCTAGTAGAAGGAAAAGTTAAGAACACCTGCTCCAGTTTTCCAGCACAGGCTTTGGCACGTTCTTCCAATATTTGCTAGCAAATCCTTCTTTCCTTTATTATAGTTAATTATGCCTACACAGAACTTGACCATAGCAAGTCACTGACCTTTTCGCAGTTACAGTGGTTGACTGCTGCTTTACTGTTACTTCAGATTTTATTGACATTAATATTGCTAATGGTCTGCTGCTGTGTAAATCTAAATTCTAGCCAAACAGTCACAGTTGTGTTGCAGTGATAAAATTATTCATGCAACCTGAGGTCTGCAACGCTTAATAAACTTCTCTTGTTCTGTTATTATAATCCATGGTCCGTGTTGTTAGTGTGCCCCTTTCAAAATAGGCATCTCTGCTGGATTGACAATCCCAGAAGATAGCTGAACAGCTGCCGCTAAAATGTGTTTGTTTTCTGTATGTGCGGGGATTACAGAGGCAAAGCAGTTTGTGTGGTTGTCGGGGCAGCGCCCCAATTCGCTTTGATGTGAAACATCTCGGCATTAATGGGTATTCCCAACAGAATGTGATTCTGTAGCCTACAGTACATGTACAGATTTATGATGGAAAGGACTAATTAGGACACTGTCTATTTCCAGTGCCAGTGCAAGCCTGTACCCGTGCAGGTATGTTCTCCTATCACTTGCCCTATTCACTTTTCAGTGCTCTAAGCTGGGGTGTCAAAGATACAGTGCGCAGAGCCGTTTCCCCTGGCATCTCAGGGAGCCAGCGTGAGCAGGGACAAGTCCTGCCACTGAATGCACAGGTGTGGAGTCCTTTGGGAATGTCGCTCAATGGCTGCATTACCTCCTGCACTGCTGCCGCTTGCTTCGGTCTGCAGCCAGGTCCAGATCTGACCCAAGCAGCTCCTTGCATTCTGGATCCAGCCTGCAAGAAGCCCCGTGGTCCTGATTTGGCCTGGGGCAGGAGTGGTGTTGACTTCTGATATCCCTGCTGTATGCAGTTCAGCTCCCACTCCTTCCCTTGATAATCCAAGGTTTTGTGCCTTATCACCTTTTCTTTGCTAAATCTAATGCCACCCTCTTCATTTTTTAATGCCTGTTCCTTGCTCAGCCCATAAGATCACGGGAAGTTTGGAAAGCTCAGTATACCTGTGTAGACACTGGCCAGGGCCCTATGTCTCGCACTCCCTTGTGCACAGAAATAGCTACCGTGTGGCTCCATCAGAGGCACTTGCCAGCCCAAACCGGTTTTCTTTTCTGCATAGTTTTCTGTGAGTCCCCCAAAACAATTGCCTGTGGCTCAGTAAATCTTTCAGGTAGTCCCATAGCTCTTTAGGCAGGCTGTCAGTAAAACCTGCTAATCTGTAGGTGTAGCAGTGTGCAGGCTTGCAGGGGCTACAGCCCAGCTGTGGGCAATGAGACATAATTGCAGGTCTGCCCAGGAGGACTGGGCCAGCTGATAGGAATAATCAGCTGGCACAAAGGGAAGTTTAAAGGCTCTCAGGGAAAAGGATGGCTGTAACACCGGGCTAAGGTATGCTCTCAGGGTCTGGCAAAAGACCCCAGCACCAGGGAGCTCGCTCCAGAGGAAGAGAAGGAAGACTGCGTGCAGCACCGAGAGAGCAGCAGATTTGAGCATTTATACTCTGGTGTTTCCTGTGAGGCAAGCGTGCTCAGGAAAATAAAGAACTGAGTTAAGTTTTAAAGATTGATCTGAGCAATCCCCAACCCGCTCCAGTAGGCTTTTAATTTTTCCAAGTTGTCCCTTATCAGCGTGTGGTGCTCATCAGCTCTAAAATCTGAACTAAACATGCCGGTCCTTGCGACGCTCTGGTGGATGTTTATAGATGTGTAGCAGATGGTTAATCAATAGTAAGAGATTTGTTATATGACCCAGTAGGTCCAATTTGTACAGGACCAGGGCTTACAAGGTCTATAACACTAATTTACTAATGTGTTTATAAACATCAATAAATCATTAATGTAAACTTCATTAAAAAATACTTTTCAATATTAAGCATGGCCAGTACTTCATCAGAGGTCAGTTATAGGGACAAATGAATTAAAAGTTGGGAACTGCTCTTTTTCATGATCGCAAAAGGGGCAAAAATATTATGCTAGATAAATTTGAGCCCCTTGAGAAACCTCCTAATTGCAATTTTTGCCAGACATTTCCAGTAGTTACAAATTGTTTCCTGCATCTGAACCAGGTCTCTTTAAAACCCTTCTCTCATTTTTGCTTCTATGGGCTCTGAGAATGGGGATTCATGCAGGTTGGTCTCAAGATAACAGAGGCGGGGAAGCCTTTTCTGATGGAAATATTTGCAAGAGGAACAGTTGTTTTTCATAATGAACATCAGTTCTCTAGAGCTCATCCTTCTTGTGTTGCAGCTGTAAATGTAATTATTTTTACCTGCTCATTACCAAAAGGCTATGCAAATAGTTACTTTGAAATAATTGTTAAGTGTTATTGTAAGACACCGCAAAGAATAACAACTGAAAACATGTTCGGCAGCAGATTCAGGAACGAAAAAGTTAACTGACATTGATGACAAGAAGCCAAACGAAGAGCGAAATTTGCCAGGGGGAACAGACCAAGATATTGAAAACCGAATAAGTTAACTAATCCGATTTCCAGGTGGTGAGTCTGAGCACTTGTGCTCTCGCAGAGAACTCACTGTGCTTTTCATAAATTGAATTTATTGACTCCTCTTTCTTTCCCATCTTGCTTATAATTATCTCACCCTTTCTTCCGTATGCTCCTTATTTCTCGCTCTGTCTGTAATCTCATGTCTCTATCTGGTCTTTTCTCCCCTTGTTAGAAAGACCCAGAGAGCTGCTAATACAGAGGAATTTGAGACTTTTTAGTTATCTTGAGTTTAAATCTTTACCTAAAAGGCCTTGGTAGCAGGCTGATAAACTGAAGCATGTTGTTAATATTTTTCATACTTTTACAATAGGAGGGGGACATAAATGCTCTGTCTGTGCCCACACTCTTTAAAAGATTTCCCTGCTGTTGCATTAACACCAGTGATAGCAATGAGAGTCCTAGGGCAGACTGTCCACTGGTGTTTTATCACTGTTATCTTGGTCTACTCAGAGCTGATAAAATGGCAGGGGTATAAAAAAACAAAGCAAACAAGAAAAACCACCCTGACCTGGATCCTCCTGCATTGCAATATTGCTATACACAAGTCACTGGTGTCTAGTTGCAGGTGTGGCCACATGACACTTTTATACAGCATAGTTTCTAAATGGAGGGTAGGGCTAGAATTTAGAGAGAACTCAACAAATTGGAGGATTGGGCCAAAAGAAATCTCATGAGGTTCAACGAGGACAAGTGCAAAGTCCTGCACTTAGGAGGAAGCAGTCCCATGCACCGGTGCAGGCTGGGGGTGACTGGCTGGGCAGCAGCTCTGCAGAAAAGGACCTGGGGGTGACAGTGGACAAGAAGCTGAACGTGAGCCAGCAGTGTGCTGTTATTTCAGAGAAGGCTAATGACATACTGGGCTGCATTGGTAGGTGTGTTGCCAGCAGATCAAAGGAAGTGATTATTCCCCTCTATGCAGCACTGGGGAGGCTGCATCTGGAGTACTGTGTTCAGTTTTGGGCCCAACACTGCAGAAAGGATGTGGGGAAATTGGAGAGAGTCCAGCAGAGGACAAAGAAAATGGTTCAGGGGCTGGGGGACATGACTTCTGAGGAGAGGCTGAGGGAACTGGGCTTCTGTAGTCTGCAGAAGAGAAGACCGAGGGAGATTGAATAGCAGCCTTCAGCTCCCTGCAGGGGGGCTGCAAAGAGGATGGAGCTGGACTCTTCTCAGTGGGGGCAGATGACAGGACAAGGAGCAATGGGCTCAAGTTGCAGCAAAGCATGTTTAGGTTGGATATTAGAAAAAACTTTCTCAGGAAGAGGGTAGTAAAGCACTGGAGCAGGTCACCCAGAGAGGTGGTAGAAGCTCCATCCTTGGAGGTCTTTAAGCCCCAGCTAGACAAAGCCTTGGCTGGGATGATGTAGTTGGGGCTGGTCCTGCTTTGATCAGGGGGTTGGACTAGATGTGACCTCCCGAGGTCCCTTCCCACCTGAATTTTCTACAATTCTAAATACAGTTGTAGGCATGTCGGGTGTAGACACCCACCGCTCCAACCATATTCAGCTGCGACCATGGTTGAAAAGAATATGGAACATGATACCAACCTTTAGCCTATGCTACCAATACAGCAGTTTAAAAAAAAACCAGTTACAGATCATTGATCTCCAATTCACGTAGAAACAATGTTCTATTTTATAGCATAAAGTGGACCTTAATCATGTCTTGTAGCCAGAAAGACCCATATATGACAAAATTCCAATGATTATAATACATATGGATTTTAGTGAAGCATTTGGTCATATCTTATAAAATATAGTAACACTGCCAGTGACTGACACATGGCTAGAAAGCTTTAACAAAGGATAGCATGAAAAGCCCTGGCATGGATTGTGCAAGGCATCCTAGGAGTGGCTTTTCATCTTTTAACACCTTCATTGGTGGCTTGGAAAGGAGAAAGTGGAAACAGCAATCTGGTCAAATTGGCAGGTGGTATTAAATTGCAAGGACCAATAAAGGGCTTAGAGAAGAACTAGAAACATAGGCAGATGTTGACAAAGTGGCTACTACAGGTAGGAAAAGTGATACAGAACTCAGACACTTTTCTTGGAGCAAATAATACCGAAGGAGGGACAGGCTGCAATCGTTGGATTCAACGTGAAGATCATCACATACAAGAGCAGGCTGGTAACAGTCCCTCCATACACAGTGGCGCTGCCCACCCAGAATAATGCAGCGAGTTTTCGGCACATGACCAGATACCGACATTGGCAAAGTCTAAAGCATTTAGAGGAACAAAAATGATTAACAGTGGATTTGAATGCAGACATAATGGGAGCCCTATTGTTTTGTGACATTTAAAAGAAAGCTTGGCACATTTAAAATAATTGGGACTATCCCTGCATTGGTGAGGAAATGGACTAGAGGATCCTAATAGCTTTTTTCATTTTCTGCCTTCAGTGATACTAGCTACAATAAAATTTATGTCGATTCTATAGAAACTTGGCAAAGCACAGCGCTGCCATTTGCCACAAGCCAATAGAGAGAACTAGCCGGTATAAGTGACAATGACTGAGTTCATCCACGAGAGTTGCAATTCAGAAATCGTCCTGAAACCTTTAACGGGGATAATGTAACAAACATATTTGAGGAAACTGTTAAGATCATTTTAACAAAGGTTAATGGCCCACAGTTTGCAGCTGCTCGCGGTATTGTTCCTGTTTTACAGGCACAGCTACCATTTATTTCCAAGTAATAGAAAATACCCCCAGCCAACCTTGCTGTCTCCATCCCTTGCAGCCTACCTGCCTGTGCAGAGCTGCAGTCCTGCCGACAAATCTATGAATAATGAGCAAACGCTGCAAATTGTTTTCTCACCTTTGAGATTGAAATGGTATCAAGATCCTAAATGAAAGAAGCTTTTTTTTTTCCCCTTTAACTTGCACAGCTTTACCCCAGCTCATTTGGGAATTTCCTATGTTAATTTATGCAGTGTTAAATTTATGCAATGTTAATATTCAGCCCAGCAGCAGTTACATGCAAGTTTTTTATATTGCCACTGCAAGGGAGCCTTCTAGTTAAAATGGCCTTCATCAGTTCCATCCAAATCTCTTTGGGGGCTGCTGCCAAGGTTCAGATTGTATATTTTGTTAACTAATAAAAGTTTTACTTACCCGCATTTTGCAGGAGTCCTTAGGAATGTGAAATGGACTCTTCTTTTTTATATGTTCATTTACTTCCCAGGGTTGTGACTGAAGTTGGTAAAGCAAAGAGGAGTTCTCTGTTCTGGATATCCCTGTGTGGTGCGGTAGCCTGTCTGTGAACTGGTGCTCAGTGCGCTCTTTTTCCTTACACCCCCTGAAAAAACTGCAGTGCTTGGTGCAGCTGAACTGCTCAAATCACATTGTCTTCGGAAACATTGAAGTATATATGTACGTGTAATGCAAGTGTGGCCCAAGACCTCAAAGACAACTCATGGGTTTCTCCACTTCCTTGATTTTGCTGCACCTGTGCTCACTGATTTGGAGCAGACTGCATGCTGCCCTGGCCCTGGAAGTCCAGACCTCTACCACTCGCTCCCCCAAGCACCAGGGTCGTCCAACTGAGGCTTGTGTAGTCTCAGTAGAGCCCGGTGCCAAGGACTTTACTATCAAATCCCACCAGAAAGGCCCTAATAAAGCTCTGATATGGGCCAGCAGGAACGAGTGTTAGTGCAGCCGGTCATCTCTTGCTTCTTGGAGTACTTGGGAGGGGGGGGTAACCATGCAGTTTGAAGCTTCGGTGCTTTTCCATTGTGTTATATGGCCCAAGTGCTGAAAGCTATTAGTAAAGCATGTGGTCAGCGTTACCTGTTTGCATTTGCAAGACTCTTGTAATCTTGGCTCACAGGACCCAACAAATAGGTCATTTTATTAAGTGTTAAGTTACTTTAAAAATTCAGCAGAAGGTATCCCTATGACTTTATGAGTAGGATTTACCTACTGACATTGAGAATAAGTTTTACCTGACTGTAAGGGTGGAGGTGTGGTTTTTAATTGGACGTGAGTGACTAGCACCCGCGAGCACTACTGTTACTGAGGACAAGATGTACTTTTACTCCACTTTTTCAGCATTATCTTTGTGTCCTGCTCCCTGGGGCTCTGCAGGTAATGCTTGGTTCCTACCCCAAAGCTATTCTCATATGTCCTTCTTTTTGTATTTTTTGTGTGAAAACCTAGAACAGAGACAGCTGATACCTTTCATGGAGCATCAAAACAGTGTTTCAATGTTGAAATGTGTGTTTTTTCTCCCTTTTCTTTAGCAGAGCATGCTCGGGAGAGGAGGATAGAGGCAGCATCCAAATCCAGTACAAGCCCATCAACTCTAATTTCAGTAGCAGAGCATTTTTTTTTCCCCAAGAACAAGATGACAGCCCATTTACAGGGCAGACCGATAAAGAGAAGAACTGGAAGAGCCATTTCAAGAGCAGCAGCCATCACGGCTCAATCAGTGTGGCCATTTGAAAAGCCAAGACCTGTATCTTATTACATCAGAAATCATACATCTGAGGACACTGTTCAGTTTTAGTAAAAACCCACTTATTGGTGATTGAAGAAAGGAAGAGAAAAGAAACTTCCATTGACCTTAGGAGGAAAATATCCTTCAACTGCTGCTGTTTTGTGGTAGAATCTACTCCATAACTCCTTGCCGTCGAAGCCAGGGGTATGTAACACTTGATGTGCCATTATATGGCATCACTGTATAAACTAGCCCATTACTACACCACACTGTGCAGCCTGTGTTCGCTGCTGGCATTTAAGCAGTTTTCCTTTTCATGTGTAAATGAAGCAATGTTTGCTTAACTTATTACCGAAATTATGTAATAAAAAAAATTCCTTCCCCTCCCCTCCCTTGCCCTCTGCTGGAATAACGTTGTTAGTGCTCCAACACTTCAGGTGTAAGGTGGCCTTCAGCTCCATTGCACGGATTTTGTTATGCTCTCCACTGCTGTCACAATTATAGCTCATTCTTTATCAACAATAAATTTATTTTGTGAGCAGGACAGATGTCTCGGACCAGTCTGCTTCTTTCCATTGCTCGTAGGAAGCAAACAGTCCCTATTTGGATGGAGTCGTCCAGTGGGAGTTGGCTTTGCTGTTACTCTAAAGCAGGACTGTCCAGCTGGCAGCCCCCGTGGGCTGCAAGTGGCCCCCGAGGGGTTAAAGTGCAGCCCCTGGGGTCCTAGTCTGAGTGCTGCTGCCCCCACATCACTTCCCTGCTGTTGCTGTCACAGTCCCTGGGCTCCCCTTCCAGCTTTTGCTTCCTGCCCCTGTCCCTGGGGACGATGCAGCGTAGCCCGTGGGGTGGAAGGAGCCCACAGCCAGGGGCCTAGGAGGACCAGGGGATCATGCCTGATGTAAGAGCGCTGGCATGGTGCGGTCAGGGGGGCATGCAGCCCTCAGCCACTCAGAAATTGGACAGCCCTTCCCTAAACCACAGTTTGGTCATGCCAGAACATGGGTTCAGAAGTAATATACTCCTACATCGTCACCTTTCACGTGGGAATCTCCAAGCATGTTGCCGAAGTTTCTGATATCTCATGGCACACTGAGCCTCAGCTACTCACTGGGCAAGAGGGCATCTCAGTGTAACACTCTCCTGCCTCCCAGCTGATGTTGCCATCCATGCGAGGGGAGCTCTGCCTTGCCGGAGACTCTCCTTTGCAAATAACCTGAAATCTGTATCTAGGGGGCTGCTGGAAGGGAAAGGCCCCTTGATGCTTTCTGAAAGGAGTACAGATTCCTCTCGTGTCCTGGCCCAAAGGGAAAAAGTGGAACTGCTCAACAGCTCGCTGCAGCGTTAGTTGTAAAGCATTTCGAGGTTATCTCAGGCATGCAAGACTGTCTACCAGGCTGATTTCTGTTCTGAGTGACACTAGGGTAGCCAAACCCTATCGCCCTTACTTCAGTGACAGCCCAGGGATTTCGACTTACAGCTATACCCTACCAAGCTCATGCTCTCTCACGCTTTCTCTCTCTTCTCCCCCCCTTGCCAGGAAACAAAAATGTCAAATCAGCAGCCTACCTGGAACCCTCTGCTATTTATTTACCTGTTCTGATTCCTTAATTAGCTGCATTTGAACTGTATCCTACTATCCAATTGTGAGCACACCTGCAGATCTCATTTGTATTCGGAGTGTTTCAGTGACTCTCCTACCCTAATTATCAAGATGCTTTGTGATTACAGTTTAATTAAAGGGTTGTTTTTTTTTTTAATGGTACAAAAAGACACGGTGCTCTTTTGAGTGTGGAGGAGCTGCAGTAGCTGAAGCAGAAGGAGAATCCTGGCAAGCTGTGTGGGATGCCAGGTAAAGTGCTTGGGAGAAATCATAGCAACACAAACGACGTGTTTACCTGGTGCCTTGGTGCCGTGTTTACAAATCAGCTAACTTGCAAATTCTCCTTTACACGGTTCTCTTTTGTAACTGAGAGCCAAGAAGTTGGCAGATCCAGCCTTTGCCAGGCTTTGAGTTGGCAGCGAAACATGGCACTGAGGAAAAGCAGACGGTTTTAAGGCCAGATGATTCTGTAAAATCAGGGAAAGAGTTATGTCGGGAAGGAAGGTCTCTATTATTGCCAAATGTTTATTAGTTTCCCGCTCTGACAGCCATGAGTGATGGGAGCCAATCTTGCTTTTCTTCCAACTGTGTGCAGAGCTTTGTTTGAGATGCCCTACTCTTTAAACATCTCCTTAACACTGCTAGCGGCGTCTCTAACATGCTCTCTGGGTGGGGAGCAGCTGATGGCAGCCCCTTCTAAATTTTCTCAAGAGACTCATCAGTTGTCCACCAGTCCATAGGTGGATTACAGGAGTCCCCTTTCCTTGTCCTGGATGGTTGCTTTGTAAATACAAATTGTCTCTTGTTCAGGGTTCTGCATTGCAGTCGTCGGGGTGAAGTTTCTTCAAAGGCTGTTGGCCATGCTGCTTTAATTAGACAGAAGCATTGTTGCAAACCACCGGGAACATCTCCCTTCTCGCAAGGTCTAAATGAAATTGTTACCAGGACACCTATGGTAGAGAAGAATTCAGAAGTTGAACGCAGCTGATTTTCCTGCATTGACAGAGACATAATTACCTCGCCAGGCTGGGCTTCCATGAGACAAGTTTGTCTCCCAGATTACACTGGAAAAAGAGAGAGCAGAGGAAGGAAAAGGAGAGAGATCCTGGCCAACGGCCTGCCCACCCTTGTGGAAAGACCGGCAACTTCTACACATAGGTCCGTGGCTCAAGGAGGGGACTCAAGTCCCCTTCAAGAGCGGTGGTAGACATCGTCTTCGAATCGGCTGGTTCTTTCCTGAAATATTCTGCTCCCTTGTGAATCGGCAGACAGAGTGGTCTTGCAGATTTTTTATTCTCCTTGCCATACTGTCTGCAACCCTGAGCAAGATGTAGCTCCCAGGCAGCTGTGATTTCACTTCCTGACTCAACATATAGGGTCTGAGCCCTTCCCAGTCTGAAAGCCCCTGCGGGATAGGGCATTTCTGCTTCCCCCATGTTACAAGTGGGGACTTGAAGGCCGGGAGACCAACTCATTCAAGAACTGGACAGAACAGTAAACCGAATCCAGATCTTTGCTGGCCGGTAGCATGAGCACTCGCTCTGGTGCAGCCACCAAGCATCCTTTGTATGATTACAAATGCTGCCTCCTTGCATATGCTTCTTGTAGGTCTTTCCTCCTGGACAGGGTGATTCTTGCCCTCTGCATCTTCACACACCCTGGAGGAAGATGTCTGCGAGCGATTTTGCCTGAGATCTTAGCCAGATACAATGAGACTAGAAGTGGAAAGAGTTAGCACGGTGGTCTGCTCAGACCTTTGTGATCTGTCTTTTCTTTCCGCGTCTGTTGAACAAATCAGTAACACTTTAAAGTGAGCAGCATCAGAGTAACCAGCGCTACCCTGGACTTGAGCAGTTTTTCAGTGTAAAACTCCTTTGAATGCGAGGCTTTCTTTCCTCATCCTGACTTCTTGGTAATTTTCCTCTAGCGAGTCCATAGCATCTGTGTGCGATGGCATAACCTTGCAAAGGTGTCGCTTTTACCTTTGAAGATAACCCTGCATTCATTTTTCGAATTCATTTGCATATCAGCTTTAATATGCAAATGACCAAGTGATAGGGTCAGTTCTGTGGCTCAGAGGGCCACCGATTTGCTGTTTTTAGATCTCCAGCCCTTCTTTCCAGGGTCTGTGGATGGTAGCAGCGATCCCAGCTGGAACTCCATCTGGTGGAGCTAAATGTCATCTCTAGACCTGAAGTCTTCTGCCTGAGAAGAGGCCCCCTAGGAACAAGGTCTTGGTTTTTTGTCCGTTCTTCTTACGTTATTTCTGCCTTGCTACACTGCTCCCATTAGGGCCTGCCTATCATGTTTGAAAGCCTGCCCTATCTGCCTTGTGCCTTGGCTGTCAATTCCGTAATGCAGGTGGGCTCCTGGTGCCAAGAGCCCAGGACAGCACCTGATTCTCTCTAACACCGTTGACATGCAACACTCGGGGAAACTATCTATCACCACAAAGTTTGCTTGCAGGGAAAATCCAACCTTGTACTGGCATCTCGGCCCCCCATCCTCACTGTTCTTCAAAGGTAGCTTCTGGGGTTACCACTTCTGTCCAAACCCAATATGCACAATGTGCAAAAATTGCCTCAAATGCTGTTTGACCACCAGAAATCTTAGGAGCCCTTACCCCCCGTCCCTTAAATAAGTATGTGGAGCAGCATTTCTTTGCCTTACTGGGGTGTATAGCAGGAGGCCCCCTTCCTTTCCAGCCCAGCAGGAGAAGAGTGGATGCTGATAGAAATGCACGTGTTGTACAGGACAAGCCCATTTTTCCCCCACCGTGTTGGAATTTTTCTTTGTATCCCATCAGTACCTAAAGGGTCTGAATCAGAATTGGGGTGCAGACACAGAGCGAGCGACCTACCCTTCCCTCTCAATAGAAAGGTGAGTGGGGAACCAGAGGGAGTTGAGTTACTCGCCGAGGGTGACTTGGACTATCAGTGGTGGAGCCAGGAACAAAACCCTCTTTTCCTAGTCTCAGCCCAGCGTGCTTTGCCTTGGACCACGCTGCCTGCCATGCTGCAGCTCACCTGGAGATATCTGGAATTCCTTACCGTCCTCCTCTCATCTCCCAGCCCCTCCAAAAATAAATGCCAATTGGGCAAGAAGCCAGCCTTGGACAAGCCTTCCCTGATGGCAAGTAACAGCAGGAGTCTGGGTTTTGCTGGCTGGCAGACTTAGTGTTTGCATGTATTTGCCCGGGAATTGGCTTGCTGGTTTGAATGGGCATCACCTTTCCTTGCTTGACTGATGGAGGGAGAGAACAAGAACTCATTTCCAGCTTCACGTGACCTCCCTCTTTTTGTATTCTGATAACTTGTCAATCTCATCCAGCAGAGGAAGGACGTGGGAAGCCCACGTTTTAATTATGTGACAGTGATACGGATAGAGCCCAATCAGGATTAGGGCCCATTGTGCTAGATGCTGTACAAACAGAGGAAAATCAATAATCCCTGAAGAACAGTTTCAGACAGTGGCCCCCAATCTGCACTCCTTGAGCAGGGTGGAGATAGTCCAGCCCCTCCTTCCCTTTTTCAATAAAAAGTGCAATAAGGGGAATGGGGCTTTTCAGGGCATTTGAGTGACCATTGGGCCAAAAGGTCTGGGAGCCACTGGCTTAACACCATGCAAGGAGAGTGCTTACCAAGCACACAGGCTGTACATGGGAAGGGATGCGACGAACAAGTGAAGCATAGTGGCTGTCCCTAGACACATTGGAGAGTAGGGTGGCAAAGGACCTTGAGGGTCATCTGTGCAGGGAGGTTGGCCCAGATGTAGCATACATAGTTCCTGCCCCATCCCAGAGTGATGCATACCCTGCGTTCAGCTAAATACCAATTTATTTGTATGTATAGAAGAGAGAAATCCATCCTCTGAGCTGCCTGCTAAGCCACTGTCAGTGTTTCTACTGTAGACAGCACCACAGGTTTGAATCGTTTGGGTCCTTG